TATTTTGAATGCTACCATCCATGGCATTACCTAATGAAACGCTGCACCACATGGTGCTCACATGTCAGTCTGACTAGTTCAAATAAAATTTCATTTTCAAAGAAAAGCCTTGCAACCACCTTTCCAAGAAACCAAAAATAATTGTTTAACATTCTAAGATATTACAGATAATCTAAAGTGGAAAATAGAAGAATTATATCCCTGTTTTTATGGGCAACCGGAGGGGAGAAAACACAAAAGGAGGAACAATGAGTCAACTCTGAAGTTTTCTGACTTGCACATTTCCCTGGACCTCCACATCCCTAAGGGACATGCCCCATGGGGATTCCCCAGGTCCAATTCAACTTCTCCCTCTGCCCTTCTGCCTGATTCCACTATGTCCTCTAGCACTCCAGCCCCTCTGTAAAAAGAGCCTTCACCCTCCCTGCTTCCCATTATTCAGAGTAGTCGGGGGAAAATGCCCAAGTTACAGCTAACTCCCCTCTCCGTCCTTTTCAACCAATATCCAGTGATCTCTCAGGTTCTATTAACTTTGTAAGGTCTCTCGAATTCACCTTCTTATTTCCAGTTTCACTGCCACCCCAATAATAACAACAGCAACATATATTTTCCAGAGCCATCAGAGCCTGGCTCAGCAAGAGAAAAGCTGTTCCCTCGGGGTTCTGCCCCACCCTATTCCTGACATGATTCTGACCAGGGCATGTTTTCCTTATGGTCCTTGACCTACTTTTACTGGGACAGACCTAGAATCTCAGTACCTAAAATACACCCTAAGTAACTATGGTCCATTGAAGATGTTGTTTCCCCTTCAACAACTAGGTTTCTACTCTGAATTACTAAACAGCTCTACAAGTTCCCCAACAAGAACTGTAGCTCTTTTCTAAAATGCAAAGTCCCAAAATTCTACATAGTTTTTGTCATGAGAGTCTTTCCCAGTTGCTGGCTGGGCCCGAGTCCCAAGGCCTAAGGATTTGGAACTATTTGATTTTGCTTAGCTACACCATCTAGAAGTCCCTGTAGATTTGATCCTCTCACATATCAAGGCCATACCCTTTTAGACCTAAGTCATTATTTAGAAGTCCAGCCATCTCTCTCAGTGGACTGCCCTGCAGAAAGATCAATAACCCCATCCTACATGCTCCCAACTTCTGACATTCCTAGCTTTCTACCAAATGTTCGAAAGCCCCACCCTTCTGAGTTAGACCATTCTTAATCATTATCTCATTTAATTCACAAAACAACCCAAAGAAATAGAATTGTTCCCATTTGACCTGATGAGAATTTTAAAATCAGAGAGATTACATGATAGAAAGTACACAACGTCACATAGCTAGGCAGTGGCGGAGTTGGAACTCACACTCCGGTCTTCCTATTCCCAATTTCATACTGTCTTCACTATATTAGGTTACCATGTCTCTCACAAGGACTCTTGCAAGAGACTTATAACACACCTTTCTGTCTTCCAAATTATCCTATACATTACCATAAGGATATTCTTCCTAAACGTTCTCAGCCAACATATAAACCTCATCCTTAAGTTGCTCTTCCATCATTCTCCAATTACTTATGAAATAAGTGCCACTTCCCCATTCAAACATTTGAGAGTTTCCATAATCTGGATCCAGCCTGCCTGTCAACATTTATCCCTCATTATTCCTCCATAATCCAAGCCAGGCCACATTCCCTCCTGTGCCTCAGCCACTCAGCCCAGGCTCTTTCTGAAGTTCTATAGCCCTTGTTTCTAATTTACTCCAACTGTCAGAGCACAGTTCAAATTCCACCACCAAAAGTCTCCCAGGACTTCATATATCCAAACTTATCCTATCCTTCTGTTAACTTTATTCTAGCCATATTGGCATCTTAACGCAAACTGCAAGATAGGATTCCTCTCTATCAGCCAGAGTGACTCACCAAACTTTCCCGCCTCCTCCTTAACCCCACATTCTGTAATTCTTGCAGAGACTACCATATTCATAACCTCAAGTCATCATTATTTTCAAGCTCCTTTAGAACAGAGAATTTGTCTTTTTTATGTCCCCTCTTCCAAGCTTAACACAGTGCCCTAAGCATGGTTAGAACTCAATAAATGAGTGGATGAAAGAATAAATCAGATAATGGGGGGAATGGAGGTGAAAAAGAGGAAAAGTTTTCACCAGCATCTACTTGAGCTAATAATGAATTTTAAACTTTCATATTCCTAATTAAGGTTGGAGATTAAACCAATATTCTGAAAACTATTAGATATCATGTTTGCCTGGATAGAAATCTAAAATTTTGAAAGGATTTATTTCATTCCAAATAAAAATAAAACGTGAAAAAAATTTTCTGAATCAAATAAATTTTAGAGAAGGTATTAAATTGTTAACATGCAAAATGTTCATAACAAAGGCCTTCTCCAGTCACTCACTTTTGAAGTTATAAGAGAAAGAACCACTACCGTGTTCCTTTTCTCTCTCTCTTTTTTTAACTACAATGAAGGAAGGCTCCAAAATGAAACTCCTAACCTTGCTGATTAAGAAGTTGATTCTGAACAAACTATGCCTTAACAAAATGTGATTTACAGCAAGGGGACCAGACCATCTAGGTCACTGGATTTGGGTGGGCCAGGGAGGGAGGACAAAGAAAACCAGAAAATCAGCTTACATTTTTTTCTCGGTTAAAGATTAACTCCAAAGAAATTAATTCATTGACAATAAGGCCAGGTATATGAATAACTTCCAGCAAAAAAAAAAAAAAATTATCTCTCAATTTAGCAAATATCTTGCCTTCAAAGTACCAGACATCTGAAAGACTTAAGTTTTCTGACTATTTACATTTGCACAAATCCATTCCACAGTATAATTTTTTTCATCCACTAGTTTGGTAAATCATAAAGAATAGAGGGATAGTCTCTTCTCTCTGCCCTTACCCTGAAATAGATACAGTATATTTGTTTTAAATACCAAATATAATTTTTTGAAGATAAGATGGTACTTTGTAAGTACAAAGTGCAATTCAAATTTAAGGCAGAATTATAGCTTTTGTATATTACCAGAGATGGAGCAATCTCTGCCTTGAAGGGACATAAAGTGCTTGAATTGCCTTAAACTTCTACAAAGTGAGCAAAATCCCAAGCTATCATCATGTCGATAAAAATCTCAACCATTAGTTAGATCAACTTTGGTTGTAATGACTCTATTTGTCTGTCAACGCTGACATGTGACTACCACTCTGGTTTCCCCAGAGGCTGGCTTCCCTAAGGATAAGTTACTCCTTTTTTTCACAAAATAGCTTAAGTTTAACTATATTAGAATGAACACTATACCCATCAGCCCCCACCAGATGAAACTCAAGAGGCTTTGCTTGCAATTTGTGGCTAAAATAACACAAATCTTTCTGTTTGCCAACTCTTTCAACATAACTTACTCAAGCTAAAGTCCATGAAGAACTCCAGGCCAGAAAGACTGTAGTTAGAAATTCCACTCTAAAGTTTCCCTAATACAAATAAAATAGATGAAACTTAACAAATAAATATAACAAAACAACTTTATCTCCTCTGGTAGTCAACTACCAATTCTTTGAAGGAGAAATACGCAGTCACAGCCTACAGAGAGTTTTAAAAACCAATTAGTCACCGAGGATTTTGAATCGAACCTTTTATACAGAGGGGAAAAAAAAAAATTCCAAAGGGAGTAACCCAGAGACGTCTTCTCTCCTTCCCTCTACAATTGTAAAAATAACTGCAAATTCCCCAGCATAAATTTAAAATACAATCCACTGTTTTGTTTATTTACAGGATCAAATTATCCTCTCTTTTGCATTGTCCATCCATTTTCCTATATTTTAAAACAAATCACAGTTACAGAGTATTTACCTTGAATCCAAATATAAATCCACATAAATATTCATATAAATATGAATCCAAATATTTCCTTTTTTTATCTCACAATTTTTTCTAAATACCAAACATAATTAAACTCTTAAAATAATAAAACACTGTTGTAAAATAAATACCTGTAAATACAGGTATTTACATTCGGCCTGTCCACTAGATGTACTGATATGTAATAGAACCAAATCATATTTTTTTTTCTTTGAAAAGTTCCATGAATTAGGGGGAAAAAACCTACAGGCTACTTAAAAATAAAATCAATCGATCTCACTTGGTTTCTGAAAAACATGATCTTTAAAGAGAAATTTTAAATGCCAGAACCAAATGTCCGAAGACCCTGAGACTTATCTTTTTTTTCCCTTCAGTAAATACCTAAAGATGAAAGGAAAAGCTTTGACTTAGAGAAAATATATTATTCACTTCCATCATAGGATGGTGTTTACCAAAATATCATAAATACTTAATAGCAACTGTTCCAAGTGCTTCTAGCAAAAGGCAGTAAAATGAAACATAAACCTCAGCTGTGAAACCTAAGAGTTTTGCTTTGCATTTCATCATCCCACTTCCCCTTACCCTCTTTAGGGGACCCCCGATTCTAACAATCACCAGAGACAGTGCAACTGAATTCCAAACAGAAGTATTATGAGGTCCAGTGAAACGATTAATCATTAAAAGGGAAAGAACGACGGCAGTCAAACACTCAGCCGCTGGTGCACGGTGCCGGGCTGATAGCCAAGAAACACCATGTTTGGAGGAAGGAGACATCACACTTTCCAATCCAAATTTTTACTTTATCTTCTGGAAAGCCTATAAAACTTCCAAGGTATCAAGAGAATGAGGAACTCCATGCTCACAGGGTGGAAGTGTCTAAGACTGTTCATGAAGATCCTAAACTTGGAATCTCAAACCCAAGCTCACAGAGTTCAATTTATAAGCATTAATACCAACAATTAACACCAACAAAATCCAGATCTTTAGAATTAATGCCTTGTTCTCAATACCAAACAAACTTCCTTCTTAATCTCTTTCTTCAAGATAACAACCACCTGAATGGATATCAAGATTACGTCTTATGTTGTAAAATGTACCTAAAACCATAAGCCTTTCTTACTCCCAGAAAAATACTCACAGAATTAATTATTCCTTTAAGAGCTTGAAATCCACCTGTGACAGGGAAAACTTGATCCTTGGAATCAGCAATTCTTTCCAGCTTTAGAAAAATGAGGAACATTTAATTAACGGGTAGTTGAGACATACATTTTATACACTTCATTATGTTTCAGTTATGTTCATCTGAAAAATTACACCAGGCTACCAGTGTAGCCTGTCAGGAATTGAAGGAGATGGTGCTAGTGTTACTCGAAACGTAGTGCAATGAAATGAAACAGCCACAGGCCCTTCACATCGGCCTCAAGTTTGAATCTCAAAACAGTGCAGAGTTCTACTAGCTGTAAATGTCAAGACACAGGAATCTTAGTCACGTTCAACCAGAAATTTAAATGTAAAATCATCTGGTGAGCCAAAAAAAAAAAAAAAAATTAATATATAAACCTTCAAAACTTAATGAAAAAATTGGGGTTTTGGAATGAAAATTATTAAAGATTTCCCAAATCCCTGCACTCCTAAGAGTCAAGTTTTCAAACTCAAACACCTAAATAAGACCGTCATAATAATCTTGTCAGTTGAGTTCAAGGAGGAGTATTCATAATATTTTAATCCAAATGTGTGTTGTATAATATTAGTTCCTCCAAACCAAATGAATATTCAAGAAATTCTAGAGTTTCATTTTCAGTAATGAAACCTATCAAAATCAGACATTATTGATGCAGAGTTCAAAATCATTTTATAGAAAATCTTTAGCAACCAATTAGTGTCACAGTAAATCATCAGTGAAAAGAATTTGATGAACTACTCTTAAAACAATTACGTAATTTAGATTAAGGTTTGCAGAGCTGCTGCACTCACTTGAGCTTGTTCAAAGTCAAGGACACCAACACAATAAACTCTAGCCCCAAATGACCTGGATATCTTTGCCTATGGAGAGAAAGAGAGAGAGAGATGGGGGGGTGGGGAGGGAGGGGTTTGCATTATTCAAATATCAGGCTATACAACATACAGAGACACACAGCAAAGTACACTGGGGTATAAAGAACAGTTTCAGCTCAATACTCACCTCTTTCTCTGCATATGATGGCACCAGACCGTCCAACTTACCATCTGTCAGAGCAATTATGATACTGGAGGTTTTTAAGCTTCCTGCTTTCTGAATTTGTTCATTTGCCTGAAAATATAGAATAATTATCCAACTAACAATTTAATCTTAACTTTTAACCAGCATGTTCCATCAGGCTGAATTTATGAGTCTGACAAAACCAAATTATTATAGACTGGCTTTTAAAACAGGGTATTTTGTGTTAACTATTTTATTTGAAATATGTATAGATTCACATTATAGAGTAGTGACTATTGGGTTTAAAGGATATAAATTTTAAGCTTTGATTGACTAGTATGAAAATAACCACTGGGAAAATAAAAAATTCCTTAAAAAGCAAAATGCTATCCAAATTTTTCTTATCACCACGGTAAATCAGTCTCATCCTTAGAACAACTAAAAGCATTAAAAAAAAAGCTTTTTAAAGATAAACATGTAATGGGGTCTTTGAGTTTTACTAGAAAGTTATAGTTTATTGCATTACAGAATAAGAAAACATTCTCTCCCATACTTATAAATGTGAAAGAACTTACCAGCTTTAGTCCTTCATGGATGTATGTCTCTCCTACTGGACTAACATGTTTTAAATCCTCCAAGCCTTTACTGATTTTGCTTCTGAAAAATATTATAAAATTAAACAAAAGAAAAATGAGCAAAGATCAAAATAAGCACTTATCAAAAAACATGGCAGTATTACAATTAAGGTTTCTTCAGTAAGAGGAAAGAATATGGGCATCTTTGAGGACAGATAACTTCTCATACTTTTTGCTATTTTAATAAGTATTTAATAGCATTTGTATTTTAACTACAAAAAATAAAAGTACTGACAATGTGAAATAACTTAAGAAATCTAGGTATATTCTAGGCATTTTTGAGCTGAGAACAGATAACTTCTATCATATTTGTTTGACTAAAAGCTAAGGAGTAAAACATTTTCCTTCATCCAAAACAAACAAGGATTGTGTAGGTCAGCTTAAGTGAAAAAGCATTTCTGAAGCACTTACCCACTTCCCTGCAAGTCGGAAATTTCCTTTGTTATCTGCAGATTTCTGAGGCACATTACTTAACCCTTACTTACAGAAATTCACAGTTTCTACTTTAGTTTCCCAGAGTCCTATGTCTCAGAATCTAGTCACTCTTGTAGCATCTTATCACCCATCCAGAAACCAGCTCATTCTCTTGAATACTGTAGGTACTTAGTACATATTTGATGAACAAATGAAAGAATAAATGGTTGGATGGGTGGATGGATGCATGGCAATGGGTTCTTGAAAGAGGCAACAGGAATGAAAAAGATGAAAAACTAGAATAATCTTTTATCATCATGACTATTTAGTGTCCCAATGCAGTATGTCTAAATGAAGTATGAATACATTGTTAAAAGCTATTTTGTGTGTGTTAAGTAAGAGAAGACTCATTTTTCAGGGTTTTTTAATATAGGTTCCAAAGACCCCTTGAGAAATAAAGAAACCATAAGAATCATAAGAGATCAATACAACAATGTAGCAAAAACAATCCGAAATAAACTCAAAATTTCGTTTTAAATTTTTTAATTTAAAGGATCAGAAGAGAGATCTTAATATATTGCTTTCAGAATTTTAGTTTTTAAAAAGAAGCAAGAAAAATACCTTCTTTTTTTTTTTTTTTTGTGAGAGAGAGAGCACATCCCAGCAAGGGGAGAGGCAAAGAGAGAGAGTGAGAGAGAGAGAGGATTTCAAGCAGGCTCCACACTCAGTGCATAAGGAGCCCGACATGGGGCTCGATCCAACGACCCTGTGATCATGACCCCAGCCAAAATCAAGAGTCAGACACTTGACCGACTGAGCCACCCAGGTGCCCCAAGAAAAAAGACCTTTCTACACAAAAAAAATCTGGCAATGGTAAACTGAAGTATAATGGTTTAAATAAAACATAAAGAGCACCCACACTATTAAGAATGATAGATGAAAGATTAATTATAAAAAGTATATTATCTGAATATCAAGGAACTTACTGGCATCATACATAAAAGGATATATATATACATATCATACACTATTAAAATAAAATTGTATACATACAATACATTTCATACACTATTAAAACGTATGTCAAAAATAGTGAAAAAAAATTTTTATCATACTGCAATGTTGTATTTCAAATATTTGAAATAAATGAGTCACTCACCAGAACTACACTCATGTTTTAAAAGTAACTTACTGATTATATGCTGATATTGTAAGAAAATTATTATCAGACAAGTTTTCCATCTCAAGGAGTTTTCCAAAAATGTAAGTTTCAAAGTATGATCCTAATCTTCCTCCTTCCTGATTCAGTCATCTCTACCAATCCACATTGTCTCTTTTAATACTTGGTTTAAAATCAGCCTATTGTGAACCTATCTTTAACTTCATTACACTCTTTTTTCCTAAGGTACCCCAAATATATCCATGATCAACTTCTACTACAATGAATAATTTTGTCTCTCAAAAACTTTCTACTTTAAAATAATGTAATTAATTTAATTTAATTTAATTTAATGTTTTCACTTCTCAACTAGACTGGAAGTTCACAGTGGACTATCACCGGGTCTACCACTTATAATGTATCCTCCTACTCTGCATGTATTACTTATTATAATGCCTTTTACAAAGTAAGGGTTCAATAAATTTTTCAATCTACCATAGGAAAAAGATTCATAATTTCACAGATGATGGAGCAAATTACCTACATTATAAGCTTGTTTTATCTAAATATTTATGTTTAGTATCTACAGACACAACTTGAAACTGATTCTGTTTGAATGCAGACAAAAACCAAATAATTGGTGCTTCCGAGAAATGAGTGGCAGCGTGTCCTCAAGCATTAATGTTTGCTGCCAAAAGGGAAATGAGAAAAAGACAACTGAAATTCAAGTTTACACAAACAGATTTTGCATGGTAAAAACTGCCTTCTCCATTCAGTTCAGATTCACCTCACCATTTAATTCCTTCTAAGAACCAGAGAACACCAGCAGAGGACTCTAAGCTACAAGAACTTGCCCAATGTGGAATTTGGAATTTTTTTGGAAGGTAGGACTCATCTGGCTTATTTCATTGGAAGAAGAAGAGTACCCCTGGCTTTTCTATCCATAACCATACGTGACACCCTAATATTCTAAGTAGCACTGAATTCCATCATTACTTTTGCAGCTGCAACGTCTTTGGAGCAAAGTGTTTCTTGCCAACAGTCAATAACATCAACCAACGCACATGAGCCCTGGTCTTATCTCCTTCCAATGGAACTACACAGTTTGTCAGCCTCCACCAACCAGTGTCATTTTAGGGGAAACTTAAGCCAAACAAGACAGGGCAAATCTCAGGCCTTCAAAAGATGCCAAGCAACTAAAAATAAGTTCTAAATTTGTCTATTAGTAAACAGCTAATTGGGGGGATGCAAAATGTCATAGGTTAAAAAGAGAACTCATTCATCTAAATTATGACTCTAAGAAAGCCCCCCAAAAAATAAGTGGGGGATGATAAAAACAAAAGAAAAAATGCACGTGTTATAAAGCTCAAATTCAACACATCTTAGATCAACCTCACCAAGTTTGGTTTTCACGTTAGGTCTCCGGCTACAGGAATAGTGATAATGAAACTACTTTGGTATTTGTTGTGAAGCTGTAGTCAAGGGTGCTGCAACCATAACACATAATGTCCCCTCTAAGGTCTCGTGGCAGAAGGTTCTCGTCGTCCCTGAGTAATCACTATACACTTCCTCCTTTCTGCTAAGTACAGCTATGTCAACTGTTTCTTGCCCTAACTTTTGGGAAGGCCACCGTAAATTTCTTACTCATTCACAAAATTCTGCTAAGTTCCTATGGTTGTCATATTGCTACATCCTCTTTTCCAAGATCTTAACTTTTCTTTTTATATGCTATTGTCTTTCTGCAATGTTATTATGTTCAGTGCAGCTCAATACTTTTTGGAAAGAGGCAGAATTGAAACAAATTAAATGGGATATTAAACCTCTGATTTTTTTGTTGAGAATCAGTGGGCTAAAATCTATAGTCAACTCTTTCTTTTTTATTTCATAATTATATTGATTGGAGAGAAAGAGAGGGACAGACAGAGAGGCAAAAACACACTGACTCATTTCTTTTATCTCTAAAGTAACACTGTCCACTCTGTTAGTATCTCTCCAATTTCTCTGCTGAGTAGGGGAAGGAAGAGATAAGAGGGAAGGGAAAGGATATGATGGAAGGGAAGGAAACATAGCAATTACATTGCCACACACTGCACCACATCAATGGCTTTTCTCCATCCGTAGAACACTCTGGATTTAGGAAGGTGTTCATGATGTCATAATTAAAATAAATATGTATTATAAATAGTGGCATAATCAAATGATTGGCAGAGAATTCTGACTTGCCCAACTAACACAATTAAGGCACAATTTTTTATTTTAACTGGATGTGACTAAGGATATTATGTTTACACAGTACATTTGTATAGTACTTGAGCTTTCCAATGGACAACATCTTAACTTTACAGATTTCAAAATCTTTCCAGATTTCACTCAATCTACGTGCACCTGCTAAGCGCCTACCACAAGTGAACACTGAGTCTGTATAGTGATAATGAGAAGGGCTCCCATGTAGTCCACACACATCTCTACAGATGCACCTTAGTGCTCCACCATGGCTGAATACTGGAATCACCGAAAGGCTTTCTAAAAAAAAAATCCCTTCTAGGCTCTAACTGAAGAGATTCTAATTTACTTGTGGTTTGGGGTAAGTTCAGGGTTATTTTTTAGAAATTCCCCAGAGTATTCTAATGCGCAGCCAGAATTAAGAACTTCTGATCTAATGTCTTTTTTTTTAAGATTTTATTTATTTATCTGAGAAAGAGCAAGAGAGAGAGAGCACGAGAAGGGGGAGGGTCAGAGGGAGAAGCAGACTCTGCACTGAGGGGGGAGCCTGCCAGGGGACTCTATGCCGGGACTCCAGGATCATGACCTGAGCTGAAGGCAGACGCTTAACAAACCAAGCCACTCAGGCACCCACCTCTGATCTAATCTAATTTAGAAACCTTTCCATGTTATTGCAATGCTCTTTTCCTTAACTATTTTGCCAGTCAGTCCTCTACTGAAAGGGTTTGGGGGTGACTAGGATAATCTTTTAAACTATAAAATACAGTTTCTCGGATGGTACAGCTTATAGCCAGAGAGAACTTAGATGAATTCCAAGTCCTATCTTGTTTCTTCATCTGTAAAATAGGGATGAAAATATCTACCCCATGGAGCCATTGTGAGGATTCAACGGCACATAAGAAGTACTGAGTAAGTTATAGGTACTACTGTTGTTAAGTTGATATTAGTCATTTCCCATGTTAGTAGGATTTTGTTCACCCAGGTTACTTTCTCCTTGATTCCAAGGAGAGCTCCCTCAGCAAACTGAGAGTTGAAACATTTTGATACAGAAACAAGAAAGGAGAAGGGAAAAGAAAAAAGAAGGAAGGAAAGAAGGTGTTATATTGAACTTTGGTGGGAGAAGGTTCTGGAAAGAAGTCAAATGGGAAGCTATGTAATGAGGGCGGAAGACTTATGGATTGGAGTAAATCAGAAGTGAACTGAAGGTCTGGTTCTACAACTAATAA